AGTCACTAAGTTTAGCCCAGATTCGAGGGGAAGCTACATAGATAGACCTCACCTCTCAATGGAAGGGCTGTCAAAGAACTTCTGGATGTGTCTGAAAACTGCTACAGGGGTTGTCCTGTCCTGGGTCATAGCAGTAGGTGTAGCAAGCGACCAGTCCAGATTAAAAGAGGCCAGAGGCTCTAGGAAGGGTTGACTTGTGGGGGTGAAACTGATAAGAGTCCCTGATACATCTGGACATCTTGGAAGGAAATTTGTAGGGTAGTGGAAAGAGATTAAATTATTGATAAGTACAAACCAAACAAAATAATTGGTTGATTAACTTTCGGAAAAACAAAAATTGTATAAGGGAGAATTTCATGCTCAGCTGTGAATAGCATTTACATAGCAACAATAATGTAAACATTACTGATCTAACCGTGAGTGTGATGTAACTTACATCGGGAAGATGAGGGAGAAGAAGGGTGTGGCATGCGGTGAGCTGGCTAAGGGTGAGGAAAGAGAGAATATCCATATCACCCATCCATAATTAATGCCTAAAACTAAAAAAAAAAAATTAGCATGCCATCTGGAGCCACGGAAGTAAATTCCAAAATAATCAGCTAAAGGAGGAAAAAGTGTTTGTGGTTGGGTGTGGGAAATGGCAGGGGTAGAGGCAGGGGAAGAGGGCAGGATTTCTATTTTCGAAATTTTGTAGAACTCCTTGCCTCTTTAAACTATGTGGTTATCCAACTTCGATGAAAATAGCTTAAAAAGAAAACTTTTTACTGAAAGAAACGCCATGCCCAGATCATTTTACAGGTATACACCATCAAACATTCAAGCTAATCCTGACCTTATATAAACTGTCAGAGACTACAAAAAGAAGGAACATACCCTCATTCTTAGGTAATGAGCCTGCTATGGTCTGAATGTTTGTGTCCCTCCAAAATTCGTATGTTGAAATCCTAACCCTCAAAGATGATGGTATTAGAAGGTGGGGCCTTGGGGAGGTGCTTAGGTCATGAGGGTGAAGCCTTCGTGAATGGGATTAGTGCCTTTCTGAAGAGGCTCTAGAGAGATCCCTTGCCCCTTCTGCCACTTGAGGACACAGTGAGAAGGTGCCAGCTGTGAATGGAAGAGGGCCCTCACCAAAACACAATCGTGCTGGCATCTTGATCTTGGGCTGTCCAGCCTCCAGAACTGTGAGAAATACATTCCTGTTGTTTATAAGTCACCCAGTGTTATGTCATTTTGGACTAAGAGCCTAATGTTACCTTGACACCAAAGCCAAATAAGGAGCTCTGACAATGAAAGTCATAAGCCAGTTTTGCTTAAGAACATAAGCCCAGGAGGATGATGGCTGCCGTGGCCGTGGCTGTTCGCGAGGACTCGGGATCTGGGATGAAGGCGGAGCTTGTTCCTCGGCCTGGGGCAGTGGGGAGGGAGATGACCCAAGAAGAAAAGCTGCAGCTTCGGAAGGAAAAGAAACTGCAGAAGAAGAAATGGAAGGAGGAAAAGGGGGAAGAACCAGAAACTGGCTCTGCTGTATCTGCAGCCCAATGTCAAGGCCCGACCAAAGACCTGCCTGGACTGGACAGTCAGTTGGGCAGTGCCAAGGAGAAAGTTCCAGCAGGTGGGAGTAAGGCTGAACTTCGAGCTGAAAGGCGGGCCAAGCAGGAGGCTGAGCGGGCCCTGAAGCAGGCAAGAAAAGGGGACCAAGGAGGGCCACCTCCTCAGGCCTGCCCCAGCACAGCTGGAGAAACCCCCTCAGGAGTGAAGGGTCTACCCGAGCAGAGTCAGGTTGATGACTCCACGCTTCTGAGGAGGCTTGTTAAAAAACCAGAACGACAGCAGGTTCCTACACGAAAGGATTATGGACCCAAAGTCAGTCTCTTCTCCCACCTACCCCAGTACAGCAGACAGAACTCTCTGAGCCAGTTTATGAGCATCCCATCCTCTGTGACCCCCCCAGCCATGGTGCGACTCGGCCTGCAGTACTCCCAGGGCCTGGTCAGTGGCTCCCATGCCCAGTGCATTGCCCTGCTTTGTGCCTTGCAGCAGGTGATTCAGGACTATACCCCACCTCCCAGTGAAGAACTGTCAAGGGACCTAGTGAATAAACTAAAGCCCTACTTCAGCTTCCTGACTCAGTGCCGTCCCCTGTCAGCGAGCATGTACAACGCCATCAAGTTCCTTAACAAGGAGATCACGGGTGTGAGCGGCTCCAAGCGCGAAGAGGAGGCCGAGTCAGAACTTCGAGCAGCCATCGGACCATATGTGCAAGAGAAGATTGTGCTTGCAGCTCAGGCAATCTCACGCTTTGCTTATGAGAAGACCAGTAATGGAGATGTGATCCTGATATACAGATGCTCATCTCTGGTATCACGAATTCTTCAGGAGGCTTGGGCTAAGGGCGGGCGGTTTCGGATGGTAGTGGTGGACAGCCGGCCACGGCTGGAGGGAAAGCACACGCTACGTTCTCTGGTCTGTGCTGGGGTCCCTGCCTCCTACCTGCTGATTCCTGCAGCTTCCTTTGTGCTCCCAGAGGTTTCTAAGGTGCTGTTGGGAGCTCATGCACTCCTGGCCAACAGGTCTGTGATGTCACGGGTAGGGACAGCACAGCTGGCCCTGGTGGCACGGGCCCATAATGTGCCAGTGCTGGTCTGCTGTGAAACATACAAGTTTTGCGAGCGTGTGCAGACTGATGCCTTTGTCTCTAATGAGCTAGATGACCTTGACAATCTGCTGTGTGAGCGAGGAGAACGTGTGGTCCTGGCTGACTGGCAGAACCACTCGTCCCTATGGTTGTCGAATCTGGTCTATGATGTGACCCCCCCAGAACTGGTGGATCTGGTGATCACGGAGCTGGGCATGATCCCTTGCAGTTCTGTACCTGTTGTGCTGCGAGTCAAGAGTAGTGACCAGTGAGTGGAGGGACACAGGGTCAATAAATGACATACTCCCTACACTTAAAAAAAAACAAAAAACATAAGCCCAGTCTCATCCCCCAGCCTTTTGGAGCTGTGAGAGGGCTTGTCTGTCCTGAGATGGGGAGCAGAATGGGATGCTGGCTGTGAGTGCTGGAGGCTAAGGAGTTGTGGTAGGAATAAAGATCTGTACCTTATATGCCAGGGGCTTATTATGTTTCCTATAATTTCATTTTTGTTTTCTTTCCATATTTTGGTAAATTTAAAAGACATTTGAAACAAAAAAAAAGAACATAGGTTCAGAAATATTAAGTAAAAAACCAAGCAAGAAGAAACACGCACGCACGCACGCGCACACACACACACACACACACACATCCACCCCAGGAGCAAATTGAGTGTAACCCAGGAATGCAAGGGATGTCTTCACAGTGGCCCTTGAGTTGGCAGTTGGCTGCCCTGAGCCTGTCAATTTTTTCCTCCATGGCTTCCAGTGCTGTTACGGAAAGCCAGCCCACTGTGCAATCCGTGTACTTACTGTCTTCCCAGACCTTGCAACCGCGCCGTAGCTACCACGTTTCAATGCCCGCCTGCACCTCATTTAAGTCGACCATGGGTGAAAGCCTTAGTAATCTCAGGGGTCATCACACCCTACTTCCCACCAGCTAGAGTTCTGATCGCTGCCAGACTGGGGAGAAAGCCAACTCCAGAATCACATCCTAAGGGTCTGCTGTTTTAGGACCTTTCTGACGCAAAGTGTCATAGCCTGGGTTCCCCATAATGCGGAGTCTGAGGTGGTGAGATTTTGTGCTGTCATTTACAATTCCAGGGAGGAGTGAGGAAAGGGGATGGAAGGAGGCAGAACCAATACAAGAATTACTGAGCTGACTTCCAGAAAGTGCAGTTGATTATTTTATCTTGTGAGACATCCCTTCATAAACTGCTGGATCCCGCCCCTTATTGCTTGGGGGTTTGCCTTGTGTGGCTGGGAGCAAGACTCTCTGGAGGCCTGCCTCAGTGGACATGAGGGGCAGCCACTGCCATGAACACCTCGATCCGTAATGACAGCAATGGCTGCAGCTAGCCCCGAGTCTGGAGAATAGCAGCAGATTGAGGGTATGGTGCCAGGGCTGTCCCGTGCACGTGTGCAGACCTGAAGAGGCAAAACTGAGTTAGTATCCTTGCCATATGGAAAATAATTTAATCCCTACCTCCCTCCATAGCTGAAACAAAATACTTTCCAGCAAAGATCTCAAGCAAAAATTTAAGAAGAAAATATAGGAGATATAGAAAGATTTCTTGAAACTGAAGTATAAACCTTGAACAAAATGTTGATAAATTTTATATGAAAATTTTAGAAACTGTACGCCAAAAGGTAATACAAGTTATAAACTTATACAAGTTATATATTGGATTGGCCAAAAAGTTCATTCGGGGTTTTCCGTTACGTCTTACAGAAAACTGAACCCAATACTTATACTTTATAAGGTATAACACACACCTTATAAAGAATTAGTACCCAGAATATATAAAGAATTCCTACAAATCAATACGAAAAAGACAAAGTACCCAATGGCAAGTTGGCACTACGAACAGACACATCACACAAGAGGAAGCCCAAATAGCAAATAAACATACGAAAAGATGCTCATCATCATTAATAACAGAGAAATAAAAATTAAAACTATAATATGGGTCTCTCCACACTTGGATCTGGTTCACAGGTGGATTGAGGCAATATGTTGTACTGGCCAAAAATGGATTTAAATGTTGATTTAGGCATACATACCTATGAAGACATGCTTCAAATTTATGGAGCTGTTTTCTGGTGGGAGGCTGGGGCAGGGCTTCATCTGTATTTTTAATGTTTTACTTCTTAAGCTGGGTGATGGAAACACGGCTTGTCATGTTATAATTTATACGTTTTTCCCAGTGTAATAGTTCACGAAACAGAAGGCAAAGGTGTGTGCATGTATGGAGTTCCTCTTCCGTGCCAGGTTCATTACACTTATCCCCCCACCCCCTTCCCATATTATTCAGTGAACCCCAGACTTCATAGCCTTTGTCCACACACGTCGCTTTGCCTTTGAACAGATGGTGATCTCGCTGCAGAACATCACGTCCACCAGCCACCACCTGCGAGTCCTCCCGCCGTCCACGCCCTACTTCGCTCTGGGATTGGGTGAGCTCAGGGTGGCAGCGGCCTGGGCGGCCTCGATATTGTGTACTGGCCTTGCCCTGGGTTACACGCCCACCAGGCCCTAGGGTGACTCCACAGCTGCACCCCTCGTGCTCCACAGAGGCCTCCTACCCACCCTCCACCGAAGGCCCCCAGTCTCGACAGCTCCTCCTCGGATCTCGTCCCTCCAGGCTCGGTTCTGCCCTCTCCTCGCCCTGCGCACTGTCACTGCCCTCAGCCAGGACCCCTGGTTCCTCACTTAGGCCATCACAGTGGCTTCCCAGCCAGGCTTCCTGCCTCCGTGACGCAGCGTTCTCCTGAAGAACAGCTCTGATCTTGTGTCCCACCCCCGGCAACCCCTGCAGAAACCTCAAATACCTCTCTGCTGCCCACAAAATAAATGCTAAGCCATAGGAACAGGCATGGCCCCGCCTGACCGTTCCAGGTGGACCCTATCACTCCCCCCACTGCCCCAGGCCCTGGTCTTCTTACCTGGTCTCCAGAATCTCATTTGTCGCTTTTGTCACCCACAGGGATGTTCCCAGGAAAAGGTGGAATGGTGGCTCCTGGAATGACCTGCCAGTACACTGTCCAGTTTTTTCCCGACTGCCTTGGGGGTTTTGATGACTTTATTTTAGTGGAGACCCAGTCAGCACACACGCTGCTGATCCCCCTGCAGGCCCGGAGGCCGCCCCCAGTGCTGACGCGTGAGTGTGCTCTGCTCCCCCGGGATTCAGGGAGGGCTGGTGCCCCTATAAGGACCGCCTGCCCACAGGGCCCCTTCATGGCAGCACACAGCCTGTCCCCTGGGACAGGGGCTTCTGGGTCCTGAGAAGGGACCTGCCAGAAGTTTGCGCACAGTCCTCCCGTGTCAGGCCCCGACCATCCTGCTTCCCATGGAGGCTGACTCTGAGTGACACACATCGGGAGAGGAGGCCAGCATCCCAGCTGACCCCAGCCTAGGCGTCGCTGGCTCAGGGACACCCTGAGTGGGCCTGTGCCATGGCGAGGCAAGAAGGAGTGCCTGGAGCCCTCCATGGGTGTCACCTGTGTGGCCGTGGGGTGGCTGGCTTTGCCTGGACGCCCTCATTTACGAGTCCCTTCAGCTGGGCACAGGCTGCAAGCTGGGACTCTGACCACAACCCCCAGGGCCATGCCGGGTGGCACTGGCTGAAGCCCGAGCGCGTGGAGTCCCGAGGCGCCACTGCCATGTGGGAGCAGGGGTGGGCCCGTCCCCATCCATCCCCCTCGCCCCTCCACAGCTGCTCTTAGCTCGGGCTGGGCCTCCGGAGAACAACAACAGGACTGTGCTGTTTCTCTTGCCCATCTTTTCTTGTGGCTGCAGTGTCGCCGGTGTTGGACTGTGGTTACTGCCTCATTGGGGGCATGAAGATGACCAGATTCATCTGCAAAAACGTGGGCTTCAGCGTGGGCAAGTTCTGCATTATGCCTAAGGAGAGCTGGCCGCCGCCAAGCTTCAGAGTGAGTGCTCACAGATTGGGTATGTGCAGCCCTGGGCCAGGATCCACTGTGGCCTGTCAGCTGGAGTTGAGAAGCAGGGGGTGTGCACATCCCCTCCTGTTTGCCCAGCTCTGCCCTCCCCGCCCCAGGGCAGCCAAGTGCTGACACCACTGACGGTCATGCTCACTCACAGTGTTATCTGACTCAGCGTAGAGATATTTTGCTGTACCTGTGTCTCCCGAAACAAGCGACAGATCCAGAGGACCACATGTTCCCAGACACACATTTCACTCATTTCTGTTACCTGCCGGGGTCCTGGAGGCGTGGGTTTGCGTCCCTGGCATCTAAGTGGCTTCCTGTGTGGGCGCCTGGGCTGCAGCTCTGCTGACAAGATGGCAGCGTCCCTTGACTCAGGTGCCCATGGCCAGGGGTGGGTTGAGGATGGAGGCCGACACAGAAGCCGGCACCAGCCACACAGGCTGCTGTAGTAGGGAAAGGACCGTGCTTTGGGAGCCCCCCTCCTGCTTTGCGTCTGAAACACTTGTCAGTGGCCTCGTACCTCCTGCCCGCAGGCAGCTCTTCGTGGGCGCCCTGTCTTGTACTCATCTTTAACCACCGGAACCCCATCCAGTGCCTGGTGCAGGTTGAGTGAGTGCTGGCTGAATGCATGAGCCTCGGTTTCTTCATGAACAGGAGACTGGATGATCCGTTAAGACCCTTCAAGCCACAAAGTGGATGTTTGGAGGAGGGAAGTGTGTCACCTGAGCACGAGATTTTACAGTTTCTTCCACACTGTTGGGTCATCTTCTGCTTTTCTTTAAGGCTGTTGCAACCACCGGCTTTGTCGAGCAGCCTCCCTTTGGGATCCTGCCGTCAGTGTTCGAGCTGGCTCCGGGGCAGGCCGTATTCGTGCAGGTAGGTGATGAGACGCTAGCTTGTATTTCTTTATGATTGGTTCGCTGTTTCCTCAACTGCTCGCTTGATTTCATTTGCCTCTCTGTTTTTTTGTTTTTTGGGGCTTTTGGGGTTTTTTTTTGGCTGCCCCACACAGCTTGTGGGATCTTTAGTTCCCGGACTAGGGGTTGAACCCGGGCCACCGCAGTGAAAGCACTGAGTCCTAACCACTGGACCGCCAGGGAATTCCCGCCTCTGTGTTTTCATGACCCAGATAGCCACTCCCAGGTCCCAGCCTTGGTAGCTTCTGTGTAGGAGCATGCTTTTGTATTCTGTGGGGTGATGTCATTTGACTCTCCTATGACCTCCCTCGCAGAGCAAGTGCAGAAAGCCCTAGCAATGCCACCACGATCCCTGAGAGTTGCTTGTCCACCCGTGAGCCTGCGGGTCACCTCTACTAACATCTGAGCTGCCTCCAGGATCTCCCCTCGGTCCTTCAGTCCGTCTTGGACCATCCCACCCCCTAAATCTGGTACCTTTGTTCTCTTTCCTGTTTTATCCTCAGTTATATGGTCAACAAGGCCCGCCTTCCTTAGGCCTCATCCTAAACCTCTGCGGAAGCTCCCAGAGTCTGACCTCTGGGATGTGGGCTCCTCCTTTCCTAACTGGCCCCTTTCCGGCATCCCTTGGGCCTGTCACACCTGCTCACTGGTCCCCAGAAGAGGCTGTGAGACATGGTGATGTCTTCCTGCCCCTGTCACCCCACCCTCTGCTCCAGGAGTCTGACTCTGTGTGGTCCCATGGCTGGGTGTGGGGCTGCCACAAGTGAGCATGGCCTTCCTCACTTGCCTGCTGAAGGACACACCCACATTAAAGAGTAAAAGCTATCTGGGTTCTGGGGAGGGGGATTTGGCCTACATCAGGTCATCAGGTAGTGAAAGCCAAGAGCCATAGGTTCTCAAACTCAGCTGCACATGGCCGTCCCCTGAGAAACTTGCAAACACGCTGACATCTGGGCCCCAGCCCTGAGGTTTTGAGTTAATTGGTCTGGGGTGTGGCCTGGGCATAGGATTTTTCAAGCTCCCCAGGTGATTCTGTGTGTGCAGCGAAGTTTGAGGACCACTGCCATAAGCTTCTTTGCCAAGATGTAAAGGAAGGCTTCCTTTATCAGCTCCTTTCCAGTTGCAAGGGTCTGATGGGGTCTTGTTCATGTCCGTGATGATCTGATCCTGATAAGAACCTGGCTTTTGGAGTCGGGATGAGGCCAGTTCAGGAGCACAATAGGGATTATCCATCCTCCTCTGTTGCCGAGGGGTGAGCCGGGTCCTCTTGGCATAGCCCAGGATTTGTCAGAGCCTTGTGGTGGCTTTAAGGAATTGGGGCTGGTCACCCCTGCCCAGGCCATGATGTCCCCCTCATCCCATCCTCCTATGATCCCCAAGGAAAAGAAGAGGGTGGCAGCAGCAGTCTTTGGGGAGCAGTGGGGGAGTCAGGGGGAGGTTTTCCCCTTTGCATTCCTTATGTAAATTTTGTTTACTGACTGGGATTTTGTTTGTTTTAAAATTTATTCATATTTCCAAATAAATAGATTCACATGATTAAAAATTCAAAAGACGCAAATAGATGCACAGTGAAATGCTCCCTCTCCCCCCAGTTCCTCAGCCACCCAGAGGCCACAGCCTTACCAGGTTAGAGTGTCCTCCCGGAGATATGTGATGCCTACCTAAGCAACTGCACATGGTTTTTTCTTTCCTTTGTTTCCGTTTTTCCTTCACACAAATAGTTGCCCACTCTGTGCTCTGTTCTGCACCATGTATTTTCCACTTACCGTTTCATTTTTTTTTTACAGCTGCATAGTATTCCACTGGACATATGAACCATAATTTAGGTCAGCTGTCCCCTGCCTGAAGATTATTTCTGATCTCTGGCCATCTCAGGGAATAGCTTATACATACATCACTCTGTCCTACCAGAAGGATACAGTCCTTGACGTGCATTTGCTGACTCAGGGTCTCTGCTCTCATAATTGTGATACATGTCGCCAAAATCCCCACCATGTGGATTGTATCAATTTGTACTTCCATCCACAGTATGTGAGGGTGCCTATTTTAATTCTCATACCTTTGCCAATACAATGGGTTATCAAACTTAAAAAAAAAAAACTGTTATCATGGACATTTTAAAACATATACAAAAATCTGAAAAAGAATAGATATACATATATGTGTATAACTGACTGACTTTGCTGAACACCTGAAACTAACATAACATTGTAAATCAACTATACTTCAATTAAAAAAAAAACACGAAAGGTCAGAAGTCCAACTGGCCAAGCAAAAACAAACAAAAAAACCCCAAAACAAACCTATATGCAAAAATAGAATAGTTGAATGATCACCCATGTACTCATGACACAGCTTCAACATTTATCAACTCTTGGCCAACCTTATTTCCTTTGTGCCCCTCCGTCTCTTCCCACCAAGCCCTGCCCTGCCCCTCTAGATTATTTTGAAGAAAATTAACATATCCTATCACTGTGTTTATGACCGCTAACTTTCTGCTCTTTGCCAGTAGGAGGCATGAAAAACTGTTCTTCTGGGTGGTTTGCATTTCCACTTCTTTTATCATGAATGAGGTTAAACATGTTATTTAAGAGCCATTTGTATTTCAGTCTCTATGAATTCTCTCTTCATAGCCTTTCAACACACTCCCCAAATTAGCTGGTGGAGCCTGGGCTGAACCCCTAGCCTTAGGGAAGGGGCCGGGAGGGGAGGGAGAAGTGGAGACCGGAGGGAAGGAGGTGCAGCTGAGAAGAAGAGGGCGAGGGGGTAGAAGCCCCTTCACGGGAGACAGCGGGACAGCCCTTCTTTCCCCAGGTCCTGTTCCTCCCAACCAGCCTGGGAAAGGCAGAGCAGACCTTCATCATCGTGTGTGACAACTGCCAGATAAAGGAGCTGGTGACCACAGGTGGGCTTGGGTGCGCTCCCAGGGGTGGCCCAGCTGCGCCCGGTCCCCCTTGGGGGTGGGCACACTCAGGGGATGCTGCAGCCTCCAGGGCTCTGGTTTGGGGCCTCTAGCTCTGGTCAGACCTTAGAGACCCAAGCCAGTGTGGCCTTCGGGACTGTCCCAAGGGGCCGTCTAGTGCGAGAGGGATGTAAACCTGGGGGGCAATCTTTTTATCGAGTCACTTTGAAACTCACCGCAATCTCCTTTGGGGGACTGCCAGTGGCTCACACAGAAACGACCAGGGCACCTGTAGGTTCCTGTACAGTTAGAAGGGGCATCCTGCTGAATTTCCTTAAGGTGCCCTGTTCCTTCCTTCCATCCGTCTGTCTACCATCCACCCAGTTTCACTCACCAGGTATTAATTGAATGCCTGCTACATGCTATGTTATCAAAATCACCTTCTTTTGGTCTGAGGTGACGTGGGGACATGAACCTGCGTGCTGTTGGCTCCCTGTCCCCCTGTGTGCACTTCCCAGGGTCACGATCACGGTCGGTTGCATGTGGATGGTGGCTTGGGTCCTGTGACAGCCTTCGGCCACAGAGTCCTGGTTTCAGCCCTAGTGAAACGTCACTACTGTACTTTGTCAGGAATCGGGCAGCTGGTGGCTCTGGATCTGATCTATGTTTCTGGTGAAAAAAGTCAGCCGGAGCCCGGAGAGCTCACAGACTTAACAGCCCAGCACTTCATACGCTTTGAGCCTGAAAACCTTCAGTCCACGGCCAGCAAACTGCTGATTATTAGAAACACCACGTGAGTGACGCCTGTGAGGGACCCCAGCACACACCCTCCCTCCTTCCTCACCTGGCCTGAGGTCCCAGTGAGGCTGGTGGTTCCTTCCAGAGGCCAGGGGGGAATCTGGGCACAGGATGGAAGGATCCAGATTTGCACTGTCCATCATGGTAGCCAGTTGTCACATGTGACTATTTAAATGGAAATCAATTAAAATTAAGTAAAAGTGAAAACTCACTTCCTCCGTGACACCAGCCACATTTTAAGTACTCAGTAGCCGCACGGGTAGCTGGTGGCTATCGTATTAGAGCCGATTTATAAGATGTCGTATTGGACAGTGTTGCTCTAGATCCTCTGGAGCCTCCTTAACCAGGAATAGTTTTCCAGAGGGGTCCTGCCCAGCCCACGAGGGGAAGCCACCCAAGTCCCAGCGTCAGACAGATGATGGCCTGTGGGTTCAGCTCTCACTGCCATTTATTCCCTGACTGTCCTCTGAGCTCCATCATTACACCAGGACAGACCTTGGGGAGCCTCCCCGCCAGGCTGCCCAAGTGACCCAGGCCTTACACAGGCTCTGTCGCCTGGCAGGATGAGTAGTTCTCACCTGCCGTCCCCCTCACCGACACCTGCTGTCAGCAGCACGCCTGGAGTCCCACCCCTTCCACCACCAGGGAGTTGTCACCGCTCCTGTTGGCAGCCAGTGGGCACATATCTTTCTGGCCAGAGCAGTTGTCCTGGGAGGCCATAGCTGAAGAGGCAGAGGGTGGGGTCGATGTGGCAAAAACTCACGCGGTAGAAGATAAGGCAGAAACTTTTCCTGATATCTGGGGGGGGTGCCTGATGGTTAGAGCATGATTCCCCCGAGTCACTGTGGCTCCAGCCTCCAGCTGCTGTGTGGGGCTGTGCTGGGAGGTCTGCAGACTCCCTGCCCCCTGTGCTGTCCCTTGCCCAGGGGCCCCCAGGCTCCTCCATGGGAAGGGCCTGAAGGCTGACCTGGCCACGTCCTGCTCCTGGGTCGTTTCCTGCTCACTCCGGGAGCAGGGCCAGGCCGGGGGTGGGGGGAGCTGATTCTGGCAGAAGTGGGACATGGACTTGGACCCACTGCCTACTGTCAAGGTCGTCCCCACAGGCACGTGGAGCTGGCCTTCCGCTGGCAGATCGTGAAGCCCAACCTGAGGCCCCTAATGCCTGGAGAAACCTACAGCCCGGACAGCATCAAGTCCCACCCCGACAGGGAGACGGCCTTCTCCATCGCCCCCGACACGGGAGCTCTCGAGCCCCACACGGACCACGAGTTCCTCTTGAGCTTCTCTCCTCGAGAGGTTCGAGTGCGGCCATCTTGGTGGTCACACATGATTGGGTCACGATGTTTTCACCCTCTGTCCCTGTTCTTTGGTGACACTGAAGCCACGGCCGACGCTGCCGAGATCCCTAGCATCCTGCCGAGGCTGGCGCTTAGCTAAGAGCGGGGCCAGTGGCCGGCTTTGGTGTCCAGCTCGTTTTGCCTGGTCCCGACCCTGCACGCCCCATCTGCAGCCAGGGCCTGGGCTCGTTTCCTCGGCTCTAGTGTCTTCCGTGTCTCTACTACATCAAAGGTGTTACCATTCCTGCCCAGCCCACAGAAGCCCCCAGAAAGAGGGAGGTGGGGCTCCCCAGAGTGAGGCTCACACGACCCCCACTTTCCAATACAAAGCCGTGTGTGTCCCGGGCGAGGGGGGAGTGTGAGGGGGATGCCCAGGGACCCTTGCTGGTAAGAGAGCAGGCCTGCCTCTCAGCACGCAGCCATCTCACGGCCTCTCCCGGGAGGGTGTGGTGCTGCAGACACACTGCGGGCACTGCCGAGCGAAGCAGCGCTGTGTCTCGTGGAAGACCTCTCTGGGGGCCAGGCCACCGGGAGGAGGGGTGCCTGCCGTGCCTCCAGCCTGCCCTGGGGCAGGCTTTTGTCTTCAGGGTGCTGCGTTTGCCTTGCAGCCCAGGGATTTTCACAGCGTGCTCCAGATGGTGCTAGAGGAAGTCCCAGAGCCCGTGAGGTGAGCGGGAACCGGGCCCCTGGCTGAGGGGTACACAGTTGGGCATGCTGGGACGGAGTGAAGGAGCCCCTGACCCCCGGCAGGCTTTGGCGCGTGGGAGCGTCTTGCCTTGCCCTGGCACCCAGGCCTGGAGCTGGCTCCGCAAGCAGGGAACAGCTCTCTGGACTCACTATCCTGGAACCTTGGAGCTGTGCCCCAGGCTCATGGTTACCGCCGGGCCTCTAGGCTGGTGGCCTCTGGGTGGTGGCGACTAATGAGGGGAGGTTTTGTCCCAAGGCGTCACCTCTGCCAGTGCTTCCCTGAGCAAGCTGTCGGTGGGGGGCCTCCAGTCAGCTGGTGTGGAGATCCTGGCCGACGCTGCTGCAGGGTGGTCCCTGGAGGTGCAGGGAGGGACCCCCGCCCCAGGCCTGTGGTTGAGCTGCCGTCCCAGCCACAGGCATTCATCTGTTTCAGGGCATTGCTGACGCCTCTGATTTCAGGGGGCTGTGGGCAGGGGGCGCTTTCTTTTCACAAGACCAGAGATGGGGGACACGATGGCTCCTAGCTCATGGTGGCTTTGTGTCCAGCTTGCACTTGGAAAGCCCGAAGGATCCCTCATACTCTGTGGATGACGTGATTGTCCTGGAAATCGAGGTGAAAGGCTCAGTGGAACCTTTCCAGGTTCTCTTAGAACCATATGCCCTCATCATCCCCGGGGAGAACTACGTTGGGATAAACGTGAAGAAGGATTTCAAGGTAGGTGGTTGTCCCTTCCCAGCCTAGGCTGCCCGAGATGGTGCTGAACTTGGGCGCGAGCATGAGGAGGAAGCGGCTGGCGGGGCCAGCTGTGGTGGCCACTGCAGAGAAGCTGAGGCTCTTCCCAGAGCCCCGGAACCCACTTGGTTTGAACAGACGCTGGGCCGGGCACGTCTGTCATTTGTCAGCTTCCCAGCATCCTCCAAACGACAGGACTGTGGCACGCGTTCCTGGGTTTAGGCATCTTTGACCGGCGGTGGCACCCACAAACCGCCGTGTGCCGCCGTGTGCGTTGGTGCCATCGGGTGGCCGGGATGTAGCTGGGGAGGTGTCGAGAGGACCTCTTGTGAGCCCACAGTCCCGCAGTCCTTTAGCAAGTACAGATCTGACGGGGAGCCCGGCTTGGGGTGTGTCTTTCAGATGTGGAACAACAGCAGATCAGCCATCAGGTACACGTGGGGGAAGATCAGCGACTGCCACATCGTTGAAGTGGAGCCCTGCACGGGGACCATCGGTAGGTACTGCAGGGGCCGAGGTGGGGGCTGGCTGGGGAAGGAGAGCTCAAGGTGAAAGGGGCCTGTGCAGGGGTCCATGGCCCCCTGATCAGCTCCAGCCGCAGCCTGGCCCTGTGGTGGGTAAGGAGTACGCCAAGGCCAGGTATCTGAGCCCGGCCACAGAGGGGACCTGCCCCTGCTTCCTTTCTCCACGGCTCACCTTTCCTCTCCCTCTCTCAGAGCCCAGCGAGGTGGAGGATTTTCAGTTGAACTTTACCGGGGGTGTCCCCGGCCCGACGAGCCAGAGCCTGCTGTGTGAAATCAAAGACTCCCCCTCACCCGTGGTCTTACACGTCGAGGCGACCTTTAAGGTGCCTCTGGCGGGGCTGGGCGGCTGGGCGGGCTGGACGGGGAGCCGGGGTAGGGCACAGAGCCCTCGGCCCGGCTGGCCGGGTGACGGGCCCCTCTGGGTGCCTCAGGGGCCTGCCCTCGTCATCGACGTCTCAGCCCTTCAGTTTGGTTTGCTGCGCCTGGGGCAGAGAGCCACAAAGTCCATCCAGATCCGGAACGTCAGCCAGCTCCCGGCCACGTGGTCCATGAAGGAGAGCAGGGTCTGCCTGCAAGAAAGGCAAGAGAGCGTAAGTCCTGCGATGCTGGCTCGTGGTGCCACCCCTCCCCCCTCTCCCCCCCACCCCCACCGGAGCCGAGTAACCCGCGTGTTGTGTGAGCCGTGGAACTGTTGCTGGTGCCTTCAGAGCGTGGAGGCTGGAGAGGAAACACCTGCCTGGTGACCTTTGCCTCGCAGAGTCCCCCATCCCGTCTCTAGGCAGTCGGGGTCCTTTCTACAGCAGAACTTAACCCCGAACTGGATTTTCCTGTTCCTTTCAGAGCAGCCAGAGCCAGGAAGAAAACAGGCAGCTGAGCTGGGCGGGAAGCTTCCAAAAGGCCCCCGGGGAGGGGCAGGCTGTGGGGCTCCCTGCAGAGGTTCCCAGCCTGCTTGCAGTTTTGAGTACCTGCCACCAGGTGGTGAGCTTGCCGCCCAAACCAAAAGGCTCCGAAAGGCAAATCATTTCCACTCAAACAGCACTTTTCCTTTTACTCTAAAAATAGAAAATATTAAAAGTGGCTAAGCATCGTCATCATTACATTTAAATTATGGCATCATGTTTTGTTTTGTTTTTTTATAAATTTATTTTATATTTGGCTGTGTTGAGTCTTCGTTGCTGCGCGCTGGGCTTTCTCTAGTTGCTGCGAGCGGGGGGGCCCCCTCTTCGTAGCGGTGTGTGGACTTCACATTGCGAATGCATTGCGGTGGCTTCTCTTGTTGCGGAGCATGGGCTCTAGGAGTGCGGGCTTCAGTAGTTGTGGCACATAGGCTCAGTAGTTGTGGCACGCGGGCTCTAGAGCGCGGGCTCAGTAGTTGTGGCATGCGGGCTCTAGAGCTCAGGCTCAGTAGTTGTGGTGCTCGGGTTTAGTTGCTCTGCAGGGATCGAACCCGTGACCCCTGCATTGGCAGGTAGATTCTTAACCACTGTGCCATCAGGGAAGCCCATGGCATCATGTTTAAATACCATGTTCAGTGAATTCTCTGGTGGTCCAGTGGTTAGGACTCAGGTGCGTTCACTGCCGGGGCCTGGGTTTGATCCCTGGTCAGGGAACTAAGATACCGCAAGCTGCGTGGCACAGCCAAAAAAAAAAAAAAAAATATATATATATATATATATATATATATATATAAAAATATAAGTTTCAATCTTTTTTATTTTTATTTATTTATTTATGGCTGTGTTGGGTCTTTGTTTCTGTGCGAGGGCTTTCTCTAGTTGCGGCAAGCGGGGGCCACTCTTCATCGCAGTGCGCAGGCCTGTCACTATCGCGGTCTCTCTTGTTGCGGAGCACAGGCTCCAGATGCGCAGGCTCAGTAATGGTGGCTCACGGGCCTAGTTCCTCCGCGGCATGTGGGATCTTCCCAGACCAGTGCTCGAACCCGTTTCCCCTGCATCGGCAGGCAGATTCTCAACCACTGCGCCACCAGGGAAGCCCTATGTTCAGTCTTGAACAAGCCCAAGCCACACCAGCAGGCAGCTAGCTATAAACCACTGGCTCACCATGCCCACCCTTCCCACGTGGTGACTGTAGCTCTGTCGGAGCAGCTGCTGCACGTGTGAGACTCTGGCCAGGTCTGTCTGGTGAAAGCACCCTCCCTCCCCAGGTCCCCCATCCTGCTGCCCACTTCCCTTGTTGGTCAGAGGGCCGCACACTTTTTCTTCCACATTCAGGAGCTGAGGAAAGAGAGTCACAGCCACACATACATCTTATTTGCCAATGCACCTTCCCTTCTCCAGGACTTTTCCTTTCCACTTGAAAGCCATTCTCCTTTACCTGGCGGCCTCGCTTCTCCACTAGGCACCCTGAAACTTAGAAGTTATGACAGTTTGCATCGAATTGGCCAACACCATTGCCAAGAAACATTGCCATGTGGTCTGTTCCACAGGCTTGGAGTTAGCACTGGCCCCCCCAGGGCTCACTGGTCACGCTGCTTGGACCATGGAACCACAGAGGCTGGCGCTGGGACTGCGGGCAGGGTGCTATCAGTAACCTTTTCTTCAAATGAAACCTTCAGCAGAAGCCCAAGATCTAGAATAGAGTATGACTGTTCTTGGCTCCCAGAGGCCTCCTCGTCAGGCATCCCTGCCCCGCCCTGCCACTCCCCACATCCCACTTCCCTGCCCTAGGACTTCTGAGCAACCCCTGGGATTTCCCAGAGCGAAGTTGGAAACTTACGGACCTCAGCCAACCTTGTCACTTGATAGAGGAGAAACAGGGAGGGACAGGGGCTTCCCTGGGGCCACACAGCTAATAGGTGGCAGAATCGTATCAGATCCAAGTTCTCTGATTCCCAGTCTGTGTTTTTCTCCCATAGTGAAGAATAAATACATTTTACAGTTGAAGTAATTGTCAGTTTCACAGTACATTAAGATTTATGTCCTAATCGAAGCTGGTAGCAGTCCTGTCTCTACAGTTCTCTGTGCTGTGTTCTTGTGAGCTCTCAAAAATAATGTTGAGATTTGGGGTTTGTAGATGTCCCCAGGCCAGGGGACCCAGAAACCCAGACCCAGACCATAGCGCCCCCCCCTCCCGCCCACCCCACACACACCCACCGGGCTCCAAAGGAGAGGCACGTGAGGAGCAACGAGCAAAGAAAGCAAAGGGGCTCTTTCCTTACCAGCAGAGCTTGGGCCCAAAGCTTGGACAAGCCAGGCCAGAGCATGCCAGCCACGTTTCCTGAGACGTAGGCCAGCCCACCCTCCCTCCAGTGCCAGGGCGGTGGAACCTCTGAAGTGAGAGGGCACAGGGCCCAAGATAGCACAGCACGGCGGCCAGGGTGGAGGTGGGGTGGGACTGGGCAGGGGCGGCCAGGTCTCCCTCCAGGCAGGTGCCTTGCACTCCTTCATGGCCTTGGTCTCAAGGAAGGAAGAGACCAAAGAGGAGTAACCTCCCTCCTGGTCGTAAGCTTTCAACGTCCAGTGACACCCCGACTAGCCAGTGCGGCCCCTCTGGGTCCCTGGGGCCGCGCAGTCAGGCTGGTGCTCCTGGCCTCAGCCTGGACAGGAAGAGGGGCACTCTTCTCCCCAAGCCTTTTCCTTTCCCTTTTAGTGCCTGGTATAGGGCAGGGGATGGACATGTTGGGTGAGTGGGAACTAGCCTGCAGTGGGGCTGAGTGAGGTGAGGGTGTGACGGGGTGGGGCAGAGACCACGTGGGTGTGTTACTGAACCAAGCTTGGGTCCACTTGCCCACGTGCAGTAAAGCCAATCTACGGACACCAGGTTGTGGTGAAGGAAGGTGTAGTGTTTAAGGTGCCAGACAAGGAGACTAGGTGGCTCGTGCTCAAAAACCTCAAACTTCCCGAAGGGTTTCAGCAAAACATTTTTGAAGGCCAGGTGAGGGAGGTGGATCATAGCGTGTGTGCTCAGTTCGTGCACAGTTCTCTGCTTGGGGGATGGTGAGGTAACAGGGCAGTGTCGCAGGGGTTAACGTTATCAATCCTCAGGCTCCGGTAGGTCCGGGGACTACGTGCTCATGGTCATCAAGTAGTTAATTTCTTCCATTTGGTGGTGGTTTTAGCGTCTGTAAAACAACTTAGGAAACGTGCAGCGGATACTGTCATCTAGGTGCTTCAGAGAGGAGCTACAGCAGAGGATATGGGGAGGGGTCTGTACCAGGAAGGCACAGTTACAGGTGCAAAGGGCAAATCTGTGGCCACATGGAAGCTTGTCCCCTAGTTTGGGGGCTTGGTGGCTTTCCTTACTTGAAGCCGACAGTTCCTGACGCGCGCCTGCGCAGCAGGGCGGGCAGACCTCTCAGAGCCACCACGCCGAGGGCGACTCCCTCTGCCTTCCACCTCCGGTTTCCTTGGAGACTCAGTTTTCATCCTCTTCGTCCTGAGCTCTTGCTCAGCTGTGTTCCCCCACCCGCTTGCCTCCTTCCGCATCCTAGAAGCGCTCGGGGGAGGGGGTGGGGGCAGCTTGGGGGCAACCCTGGTTGTTCATGGCCAGCACCCAGTTCTGCAGTTCCATGTGTCCCCACTCCTCATCCTTCTCCTCATCAGGTGTCTCCCTTCGTCATCGAGCCGTCCAGTGGCCAAGTTCAGCCACTGGGGGAGTGCAGAGTGAGCATCACGTTGGAGGCCCGGCACTGCCAGTGTCTGCAGACTGTCCTGAAGCTGGAGGTGGTAAACGGGACCTGCAGGTAAGGGGGTGGGGAGGGAGCCAGTATGACACACTCTTTGCATATTCGTGGCATATTTATTTATATTGTGTGTAGTTATGTATTTGTCTATAGACGTTTCAGAATTTAAAGGTCTTGATATGTGTTTATTCTATGAAGTTTGGAAATTACAGAAAAGAAAATGATCCATAATCTATTACCTGGAGATCATTCACTAGTAATATTATGGGGTATATATATCCTTCTAGTGTATATATGCGAAAGGAATATACATTAATGCAGCCACTTTGGACAACACTTTATTGTTACCTAATAAGGGTAACAATACCCTTGGTCCAGCATCAGTCCTTCTGGATATAATCCCAGACTTACACGTGTGCAGTGGGAGCCGTGTGCTCATGCTGGAAGGCTCATAGCTGGACTGTTCATGACAGTGAAAAACTGGAAACAGCTGACGGTCATCAACAGGAGAATGGATACAAAATAACTGTGTCAGATTTTCTCTTTATTGGAATGCAGTTGACATGTCACTAAGTTTTAAGTTGTACAGCATACTGACCTGATTCATTTATATATTGCAGCATGATTTCCATCGTAGCGTTAGCTTACACCTCCATCACTTCACCTAATTATCATTTCATTTTTGTGGTGGGAATAATCAAGTCTCCCAGCAGATTTGATGTATATAATACAGTATTGGTGTCCATAAGCACCATACTTCACATTAGATCTTCAGGACCCATTCACCTACTAGTTGCAAGTTTGTACCCTTAAACAGCATCTTTCCAGGTGCTGGGCATCCCCAGCCCCTGGTAACCACCATCCTACTCTCTGTTTCCACGAACTTGGCTTTTTTAGATTCTGCATATAAGTGAGATATTACAGTATTTGTCTCTGTCTGACTTATCTCACTTGGCGTAATGTTCTCAAGGTCCATCCATGTTGTCGCAAATGGCAGGATTTCCTTCTTCCTCATGGCTGAGTAATGTTCCATTGTATGCATATACCACATCGTCTTCATCCATCAATCTGTTGACAGACAGTTAGGGTGCTCCATACCTTGGCTGTTGTGAATAATACCGTAAACATGGGGGTGCAAATATCTCTTTGATATCCTGTTTTCACTTCCTTTGGATATATACCCAGAAGTGGAATTGCTGGGTCAGGTGGTAGTTCTCTTTTTAATATTTTGAGGAACCTTCATACTTCTTCTGTGGTGGCTGAACCAATTTATATTCCTACCAATGGTGTACAAGGGTTCCCTTTTCTCCACATCCTCACCAACACTTGCCATCTTTTGTCTTCTTGAAGATTAGCTGCTCTAACAGGTGTGAGGTGATATCTCGTTGTGTTTTTTTTTTTTTGCGGTACGCGGGCCTCTCACTGCTGTGGCCTCTCCTGTTGCGGAGCACAGGCTCCAGACGCGCAGGCTCAGCGGCCATGGCTCACGGGCCCAGCCGCTCTGCGGCATGTGGGATCTTCCCGGACCGGGGCACGAACCCGTGTCCCCTGCATCAGCAGGCGGACTCCCAACCACTGCGCCACCAGGGAAGCCCCTCATTGTGGTTTTGATTTGCATTTCCCTGATGATTAGTGTTGCTGAGCATCTCTTCGTGCACCTATTGGCCATTTGGATGTCTTCTTTGGAAAAATGTCTAGTTCCTCTGCCCATTTTTTAATTTGATTTGTTTGGCTTTTTGCTGTTGAGTTGTATGAGTTCCTTATATATTTTGGATATTAACCCCTTATCAGATACGTGTTATTGCTGATTGAAAAAAAAAAAAGCACAACCTAAAAGTTGAGAATTATGTTTAATTCTGGGACCTTACTGAGGACTATAGTCCAGAAAACAGCCTCTCAGATAGCTCTGAGGTAAGGGAGGAGCCAGAATATATGGGAGTTTTTGCTGAAACAAAACAAAACAAAACAAAAACAACATACAGGGGAACATCAAAAGATTACTGCTAATCACAAGAAACAGACATCTCAAGTTAATGATTTTAGTGCTTTTCTGTGTATGGGAAGATGCAAGATTCTGGGCTTATGGAAATCATTCCTTTAATATGCATCTTAACTACGTATGGCTGGTACCCTGTCTCTCTCCATCCTGAATTCCCCTCAGGGTGCACTGGTGGAGGCAGGTGCAGTGACTGCTGGCTTGATGGTTGCAACATCCTTTGTTTACTGAAATGGCAGGCAGCATTCTTTGTCCACAGTGTGCAAATACTTTCTCCCATTTGGTACGTTGTCTTTTCATTTTGTTCATTGCTTCTTTTGCTTTGCAGAAGCTTTTTAGTTTGATGTAGTCTCACTTATTATTTTTTTTAATTATTTTATTTTGGCTGTGCTGGGTCTTTGTTGCAGCGCACTGGCTTCTCTGGTTGCGGCGTGCAGGCTTCTCTAGTTGTGGCGGGAGGGCTCTAGAGCACGGGCTCAGTAGTTGGCAGCACGCAGGCTTAGTTGTGGTATGTGGGATCTCAGTTCCCCGACCAGGGATTGAACTTGGGCCCCCTGCATTGGGAGCATGGAGTCTTAACCACTGGGCCACCAGGGAAGTCCCTCTCACTTGTTTATTTTTGCTCTTATTGTTTTTTGTACTTTTGGTGTCAAATCCAAAAAAGCATCCCCAAGACTGATGTTGAGGAACTTCTTCCCTGTGTTTTCTTCTAGGTGTTTTATAGTATCAGATCTTATGTTTATGTCTTCGAGCCATTTCAAGGTAATTTTTGTGAGTGGTGTACGATAGGGGTTCAGTTTCATTTTTCTACATGTGGTTACCCAGTTTTCCCAACACCATTTGTTGAAGAGACTGTCCTTTCCCAGGACATTTTCCCAGGTGTTCATTTTTTAAAAATTGAAGTATAGTTAATTTACAATGTTGTGTTAGTTTCAAGTGCATAGCAAAGTGATTCAGTTATACATACACATAATATATTCTTTTTCAGATTCTTTTCCATTGTATGTTATTACAAGTTATTGCCTATAGTTTCCTGTGCTGTACAGTAGGTTCTTGTTGTTTACCTGTTTTATATATAGTAGTGTGTATATGTTAATCCCAAACTCCTAATTTATCTCTCCCCACCCCTGCGCCACGATCCCCTTTGGTAACCATAAGTTTGTTTTCTATGTCTGTGAGTCTGTGTCTGCTTTGTAAATAACTTTATTTGTATCCTTTTTTTAGATTCCACATATAAGTGATATCATATGATATTTGTCTTTCTCTGTCTGACTTACTTCACTTAATATGATAATCTCGGGAATTCTCTGGCAGTCCAGTGGTTGGGACTTGGCGCTTTCACTGCTGGGGCCCAGGTTCAGCCCCTGGTTCGGGAACTAATATCCCACAAGCAGTGCAGCGCAGCCAAAAATGAAAAAAAAAAAAGAAATCTCTAGGGCCATTCATGTTGCTGCAAATGGCATTATTTCATTCACTTTTTTATGACTGAGTATTATTTCATTGTGTATATGTACCACATCTTCTTTATCCATTCATCTGTTGATGTACATTTTGGTTGCTTCCATGACTTGGCTATTGTAAATAGTGCTGCAGCGAACATCAGGGTGCATGTATCTTTTTGAATTATGATTTTTCTCTGGATATATGCCCAGGAATGAGATTGTAGGATCATATTTTAATGCTATTTTTAGTTTTTTAAGGAAGCTCTATACAGTTCTCCAAAACGGTTGAACCAATTTACATTCCCACCAACAGTGTAGGAAGGTTCCCTTTTCTCCACAACCTCTCTAGCATTTATTATTTGTAGACTTTTTGATGACGGTCATTCTGACTGATATGAGGTGATACCTCATTGTAGTTCTCATTAGCATTTCTCTAATAATTAGTGATGTTGAGCATCTTTTCATGTGCCCATTGGCCATCTGTATTTCTTCTTTGGAGAAATGTCTGTTTAGGGTATTCTTTTTTTTTTTAATTTTTTAACAAATTTATTTATTTTTGGTTGCGTTGGGTCTTCGTTGCTGCATGCAGGCTTTCACTAGTTGTGGCGTGCAGGGGCTACTCTTTGTTGCAGTACGCGGGCTTCTTATTGCAGTGGCTTCTCTTGTTGCGGAGCACAGGCTCTAGGCATGTGGGCTCAGTAGTTGTGGCTCATGGGCTCTAGAGCACAGGCTCAGTAGTTGTGGCACACAGGCTTAGTTGCTCCATGGCATGTGGGATCTTCCCGAACCAGGGCTCGAACCCGTGTACCCTGCATTGGCAGGCAGATTCTTAACCACTGCGCCACCAGGGAAGTCCCTGTTTAGGGTATTCTTGGCTCTCTTGTCAAATATTAGTTGAGTGTATACATGGCATTTTTAAATGAGCGAATACCATTGTATTCTGGGAGGAACACACTGGAGATTTCAAAGGTTATTAGTGATATTCCCTCTCTCACTCCCTCCTTTCCTTCCTTCCTTCCTTTCTCATGGAAAATTTCTTACGTATATAAAAATAGTATAGTATAATGAACCCCTGTGTATCCATCATCTACTTTCAGTAATTATCAAATCACGACAAATACTGCTTCATCCACATGCCTCATCCATTTCTCCCCCCAACCCTTCTCAAACTATTTTGAAGCATAATATTCATTTTCTTAAGTTGACTGATGGTAACATTTTGTTTCTTAAGCTAGGCGGGGGTGGTACACAGTTGTTCTTTTTATTATTATTCTTTAAACTGTATAGCTATTTAAACTGTATATTTGTTTTGTAGTCATTTCTGCACGTATTTTGTTATAAAAACTTTAACTGCTCACTTTAAATCTTCATGAATACTTGAATTATCCTCCAAAGAGAATGGGCCATTTTATACTTGCACCTCCAGGGTATGAGACGCCCATCACCCCAGACTGTCACAGTGACAGATATTCTTAGACTTTGGATACTTGGATCAGCAACAGGGGGAAAGTACCAGCAATGTCTCATTCAAATGTGCTCTTCTACAGCTAACGTTATGGGTCTAAGTATGAGTCTTTTCAAAGCCACCGGTAATTGCATGGTTCTTCATGGTCCTTAAATAA